GTAAAATACAAATCAGCCTTCATAAAATTTCTTATAGATATTGTACATGTATTAGCACAGTTATATTCACTTTCAAATTGACCTGTTATAAAATAATGGCATAACCAATAACTGTCTTAGCCCTTTTTAGTAAAAATAATTATACAATAATAATTATATAAATTGTTATTTTAATTAAGACTATGAGTATGTAAGGTTTTTTTCTCTTATTTATTAATTAAGAATTAATTATCTGTTAATTTTAAAAATCTAAATATCTGTCACGGTTTAGAACTGTTCACTATTTGGGGGAGAAAATGTGTAAGCGGCCAGATAGCTCAATCCCTACAGCCGCGGTACATTATTCTGTGGGTCACAGGTTTGAGTTCTGGTCAAGCTGAAAGTTTTTCTCATCCTGTTACTGCAAATAACCATTAGTTTAATTTACTATGCTCTGTAATAATAAAACATCAGAAAATTCAAGTACATGAATCAATATAGTGGGGAAAAAGGTTTTAGGTTTAGAACTGTTTCATTATTATAGAGAAAATGTGTAGCCGGCCGGATAGCTCAGTTTGGTCTTTTGAAAGTCATGGGTTCGAGTCATGGTCAGGCAGTTTCAGTCAGGGTTTAGAAGTGGTTTTTTCAACTGACACATGTTTGATTCATTTAATAGATTGCATTCATTTGAAATGGACAAAGGCAGTATTGCGTGATACTTTTAAATCTACAAAAAGCATTTGGTACAGTTGATCACACTATACTGCACATGAAGAAGTTCTTTTTTCTTCTTCTTCATGGAACTTCAAGCATCTGCCATATGTAATGACATTCTTGCATGGTTCAAGTCTTATCTCTGATAGCAGCTGGTGAATGTGGCTGGTACTCCTTCTCTCTGAATACCTATGGTGTCCCCCTGATGTTTATTTTAGGTCCTCTTTTATGTCTAATATATGTCAATGGCATGTCTGCAACCCTAAGCAATAAGCTTTTATTATATGCACAGGCACAAGTATCAGACCTGGGAAGAAAAAATATTACCAGATTGATAAAAAAACCTGTGTTCATCTTAAAAGTGTCACAAACCAAAAAAAAAATGTAAATGATGACCCCCTTTAAAAATATACTTAGTTAATAGTATATTTTTAAAGGGGGTCATTATTTACATTTTATTTTTTGGTTTTTGACACTTTTAAGATGAACACAGATTTTTTATTAATCTGGTCATATTTTTTCTTCCCAGGTGTGATACTTGCGCCTGTCATTATATGATGATGACTCAGGTATCCTTGTATCTGGTAAAGTAAATCTTAAGATTGTTTTATTGACTATAAATTGTCTTTGCATCTTGGCAAGACAGAGTCTATTCTTTTTGGTTTAAGTTTCAACATAAATAACTGGGCCAAGCCTCCAGGTCACATGAAATGGTACTGCTATAAAGTACACGTCTTTTGTTAAGTATTTAGGTGCAAACCTGGATCAAATTCTTTTGGCGTCGCCCTTTGATGCTTTGCATCAATGCTTTTCTTGTTACCTGCTGTGATAATTCTGTTGTTTAATCCTGTAGCAAAACACTATTCCTAGACATTGTCACTAGTAAAATTGAACAAAAATATGTTTTGTTGTTGTTGTTTTTTTGTCACAAACTTCTATAACTTTGTCAAAATCAATTTGATTGCGAAAATAAGTTTAATTTTTACGTAAGCTAAAGGTACACTCCAAATACCACCTACATTAATATAAATTTCCCTCAAATAAAACAGTCTAAACTCATCGCTCTTAAAACTACGGAATTCATGGAATTCGTATAAAACACGTGCACTGCCAACTGCTTGCGTCAATAGATAAAGTGTTTAGTGCTTGTTAGTTCTGAAATAACAACGAAGAATGCTTTAAATCTTCAAAAAAATAAAAATAAAAGAAACACAAAAAGGAAACACACACAAAAAACCACCTCGATGCAAAAACCACCTCGATGCGACGGCACGTTGTAATTTGTAGTCAAGTTTATACACAATATATTTAAATATGACGCTAAATGAACACAATAAAAACAATATGAGAAAAATTCAGTAGAAGTTCCTGGGAAATATTATATTTTAACATACGTTTTTTATGTCTCTGTTATAGTGCAAACACACGTTGACCGTGTCCGGATTTAATTTATGACCTGCATGACCTGATTTTTAAATGGATAAATGACCACTATAAATAGACATTATGTTTTGGTCGTAAGGGGTCAGTTTAAGATTATATACTTAAGTTTTTAAAAATTAATTGACTGGCGTATGTCTTTCATATTTGGTGGATAATTTCAAGCTTTAAGTGGAATAAGGGATTATTGGGTTTGAAAGATAGGTATTTTATATTTTATCTGTATGCAAAGTAAGGCGTTCTTGTTTTAAAGGTAAAGGTAGCACTGTCATATTTTACACATTGCAGACACAGCCTGTATAAATTGATGTATTTTATGATTTTATATTTTGAAGGGTCACCCATTGAGCAATTTTCTAAAGTAAGATAGAGTTTTGGTCTTCTCTTTCCATGGTTAATCACTGGTGCCTAAATGGATTTTTACACATTTTCTTTCACAGCCTATTGATCAATGTCTTTCATATTTAGTAGGAAGACATCCTAGTCACTTGACTCAAGGTAATTGTCTTGCCTTTACAGATATTTTATTAACCTTTATTGTCAAGTTGAAATGTTTTCTATATAACAATAACTAGGTAATTTTCATTTCTTATATTTTATTAATATCCTAACATATGGCACTTTTTTAGATAATGGAAGATAAAAGCACTCTCTTGAAAAGTGAAAACTAAATTTCTTCTAATCGGATAGACATAAGGGACATGTTATGGCGATTATGATTAGTAACAATCAAAAGGTCTAACTTATTTCAAAATGTAAATGTCTGAAAATAATAAAAATATTAATTCCATATATAATATGATATATGTCATTCACATCTGGCACTGGAGCTTTCAGTTCGTTCTTATGCTTCTGCAATTGCCCATGTTGTGTTTTAATAACAAATCTTTTAACTTCTTAAACATAAGTATAATAAAAATTATAGAGGCTTTACAACATTCAATTACATTGATCAGACATCTTTAGAGCACGTAACTTGTGGTTAAATAATTCTAACCACATTGGTGTTACCTCCCATTTATCAATGAAGACTTAATATACATTTTTATGAATTTATAAAGCAGTGCAAACTCATTCATGTGAATATGTGTGTTCCGAAGATGAAATGTGCTTAATAATAACAACATTATAGATATCCACAAAAACATATATCATACATCTGCATGTTTATTAACCGATCAACTGACTGAGTATTTGGTCAAATCACATTTACTTACCTTTATAATTCAATTTCTGGTGGTAAAATAAGTTCAGCTATATGAAAATAACGAGTTACATACATGTGTAAGTATACATGTCGTCACGTTCATTAAAATTTGTGTTTGATTATCTTTTTCTTTGTCAAAGTTATTGTGTATAGAAAATTAATTTGATAAATCTAAATATCTCAAATATATGGATGGAATTTTGTTTAACTTGATGTATAATATTTGAAGTTCATTTGCGTCAAATAGTATAAATATACAATACAAAATTAAAAATTAAATTTTAAGCTATCTTATCCCATGTAATAATTGTGTAAATATATAAGTCAATTGTTTTTGATGACTTTGATAATGGTTAATCAAATCTATATCTATCTGTTCATGAGTACGAAATACCAGTTGATTACTTTATTATATATATATTAACTCATATATTATTTAAACTAATAAAAATCAGATATAAACTCATCCATAAAATATTACATATTTTTACACGTTAAGGGCTATGAACATAAAATTTCCAAAATGGATAGATTCAGTATTGCGTTTTTGTACTGTTTTTTTTATACCTAACATGACATTACAGTAATATTCTTAGCACATTGTCAAAATACACGAAGAAATAAATTTTATAATGATATTGAATAATTGTATGCTGGTTCTACAAATTGACCATTCGTCAAATAGTTCAATAAAATCAAATCTGAGAAAAATGTATTAAAATTTTAGGAAAAGTAATAAGATTCAAAATTCTATAAAAGCTTACATGTTATGTGCGATTAGTGACCTATTTTTCAGCATTTATAACTATATTTCTACTGCGTTACTAACGCAGTAAGGGCTATTTTTGTATATTTTACCCTCTTTATGGTAACTAACACGGGTTTGAAGTGCCATTGATAATGTGTAAATTGCATTCTTTTGGTAACTTTACAATATAGATAGATAGTTTTATTCTGGTAAAAAATACATGTCATAAAACAACTACAAATTCAATGTCAACATCAAGAGATACATGTAAACATGAAAGTGCATGTGTTGATGCCATATATTCAATACCAAGGATGACACAAAAAGAAGGCATAAGCCGACTTATTTCCATTGTGGTCCTTAGAATTGATCATATGACACCAGAAAGGCAAAATATTTACTAATTATTAAGTATTGCACATAAATTATTCAATTACAATTTCTTATAACAATTATTGCACATAAGTATTTCCATCACAGAATTTATCACACATGTATTATAATCATAATTATTATGACAGATATGTTTGACAATGAATAGGTACTACTAAAATATGCACTAAACATAAAAAATATATGAATGAAAGCTAGGTAAGATGACTAGATTAAAATGACTAAACAGATATTGATTGCATAAAATGTTCCTTAAGAGATTTTTTAAAATTACAATAATATACTTTTAAATACATTTTCAAATTTTCATGAAAATTAGCATGAATCTGGAGGCGTGCTGCTTTAATGTATTTTAATGATGTCGACACAAATATACATACTACAGTCTCTGCATGAAATGAGCCTTTCTCTGTCGTAAACAATTAATTTAGTGCAATATCGTGATATTGAAATATTGTGTTAAACTAGTACGGTGTCTCGGTTTATATCAGCTCTTTACAATCTAACTAAGTTATCAATTATTATCACAGTTTGATAATTTTAACAGTGCAGTTGAGTACATGTTTCATATACAAATAAATATTTGAAAATTAATTTCCCACTTCCACCGACAAAGGATGAAAATATGGCAAAGAACTTCATATTAAAAGGATTTTTACTTTTACAGATTGTTCAGGTAAAGAAAATGAATGTGTTTTTAGAATAAAGATAATCTTTAAACCAGTTTACTATCAAAGAATAAACTGACATCGGGCACTAAGTTAAACAGACATTGCTGAACTGACAATAAAAGTACAAACGCTGTAAATTAATTATAATAAGAAGTTAAATGAGCATACTCGGATAAAAAAATCATCTTATCAATTAATATTTTCTTGAAACCCTTAAAATAAAAATATGTTTTTAAAATTACTTCATAGTCATTCAAGTTTTCTTGTAGGCAATAAATGCGGATGGTCACGTAAATATCCTGGTCCAAATTTTACAATATGACAATCCACTGGGGACATCATTCCATGGTATAGACATACATTCACAAAGAAAATGTTGTGATAGAGGGACTATCCCTGCATGTAGCACAACTGATACTTGTGACTCACTCTTTGTGTTTTGCATTGGCGGGTAAGACTAAAATTTTGTAATAAATCTTAAAAATAGACAACAAGATAGTTACAATCTTGTGCCATACAAGAAATATGTCCTTTGTACATCTATCAACACAAAACTAGAGTTTTTGCAACAACAAAAAAGGGATATTTAACAATAACAGTTTCATTGAAATATGAAATTAAGTTCGTGCAAAAAGCAAAGCAAAACATATTGTTTTCATCATAATTTTTTCCAGTTTTGTAACATACGGTGTTCTCATGTTATAGAACTAAGAGAAATTAATAAATTAAGTTGGTGAAAGAATATGTTTTTTTTACAGTATCAGAAGTGGAAAATGCAAAGGTCCAAGTATAACAACAAGTGTTCTTAGCAACAAAGCCTCGTTCGGGACTTCCTTTGACAACACTGTTATACATTCTATAACATGGACTCATTGGCAATCGGTATGATAGTTTACTCATAAAATAATTCTTTCTTTGTTTCTTTCCTGATATAATCTCTGCGTTTTTCTATTTGTTTTACTAAGTTCAATTAAAAGAACAGTATAATTTATTGAATTCATCAGGATATATTTATATGGAAGGGTATTAACGCAAAAATTACATTTTGCCTTCTTACGTTACATTGTACATCTTGGATTATTACTATTACATTTTGCATTATGACATGCACACAATGCATTCTGGCTTGCACATCTTGCATTATGACATGCACATTTTGCTTTAAATTGCATGAATCGTTCGTTATTTGACTATCTTCAAGTTCGGAAACATGTACGGAATCATACGGAAATTACCGAAAATATACGAGTATCCGGAATATCGATCACAATAGTTATGTCCCTTATTTGCAATTTAGCCATAATCTTATTTGTTACGGTTGATGTCATGTGGTTGACTTTTTTATCATCTGATCATTTTGTTATTTTTTTTATGGCCCAAGCTCTTTGAACAACTGTTTTATTTTATAATTATTTTGTTGATAAAAAATAATTCTAGAATCATTGATTTGGAAATGTGCAACTTGTCATTGTTAGCTGGAAATATAATTTGACCCACAGAGTTTCAGTAATAAATACAAAAAATTGGTTAAGTCGTTTTGTATATACCTTATTTCCTCCATAGTAGAAATGGAAATTTAAAACAAGGGACGTTACTTGGTAAACTGAATCCGAACCGCAATACGGACTTCACCGAGAATATAACTGTAGCGCCACCTGTTAGCGTAATTTGGGTGTCACATATTATTACACTAGATGTCGCGTCGTATTATGCTTGCTGCATTTCGGCTATCGGCTATGCGTCATTCTACTTTATGACATTCGTCATTCAAGCTGAGTAAATAGACCCAAAAACAAAAAGTTGCAGGCTAATTTATTGAATTAATATATCAGATCAACAAATGAATAATAATTGATCGTTAAATAACGATATCAACATACAATTAAGCAAGACGCACACAGCAGAAAGCATAATGTGCATGTAAGAAAGCAACATGTAAAAGTCAGAATGCAAGATGTACAAGTCAGAATGCAAGATGTACAAGTCAGAAAGTTAGAAAGCACGATGTAACGTAAGAAAGCAAGATGTAATTTTTGCGTTAATATCCTTCCATATATTTACTTGAAACAAATTTTGTGTTCTTACAGAGCTCTCTAGAATATGTTGCAAATGTGATGGATAAAGATGGTCACAATAAAGAGCTTGTTGATACTTTTACGTCCACTATTGCTTTACGTGCTGATACCGACTATGAAAGTTCATTTCCCCAAATGTTGTCATTTAAAAGATATGTCAGGTATATCATTTTCCTCACTATTCTCAGTATGAACGTTTATTTTGAGTTACATTGTATATGAATTTTGTCATTTAAACTGTTCCAAAGGCTAACTTATTGAGTTTATCTGGTATCTTACAAAATGTTTATACATGTACTAAAATACCGATCGTCGCATTATTTATGGTCTGCTGAAAGGGACAAGGTTCACATTGCAATTATTATTGGTATTTTAAATATTTCCTATAAATCTCAAATACGTAATTGCGTGTTCTTGTGTATTTTTACATTATGTATAAAGTCTAGACATCGGTATACGGATATGGTGTCAAGACGGGTACTATGGTCCTGACTGTAGCAGTAAATGTGATCAACAATATAGTATTTGTACAAAGAATAACGGGCAAACTTTACTACAGTCTTGTAGCAAAAATGGTAAGCTCTATTCAAATAAAGTTAGCCATGATTATTCTAAATTATCACATTCTTGGCAAGTTTCATGAAATATGTATCAAATAATGTCTGAGAAACAAAATACTATGTGATGATAAACAAAATTACACAAAGTTAACTTAAATAGATCTGAAACATTCCTTACATTCCTTACATTATGCACAAATTTATGCACGGTTTATTATTATCAGCTATTGTGAAACAAGCACATGAACCGAACCGGCGAATTAAAATGAGTTCGCAGCATAATTTATTTTGTTGGTCGACCTTTTAAGGAAATTTTAACTGTTTCACCTTAAAATCAATAAATATAAAGTATAAATTATATGTTATGAGCATTGATATCTATCACAATATGCAAGAGACAATGTATTTATGTATTTTGCAAGACTCGGAAATATGAATTCTTTCTTTTTCTAAAAACGTGCTATTTGACAAATATGCTATTATTTATAAACCTGAGTCATTCTTGGAGCCATAATTGAAGCAACATATAATCAATTACAATATTAGAAGCGAAAACCGACAACTCTCTCGTGATATAACCAAGTATACTTTTTATTTCATTATCACGCAAATGCTATGGTAAATGCCCGATAACACTTGACTGATATCAGGTCATTAACCTGTTTCAAAAATAAGCCCCACCCATTTTAACGGACTTTTTTTTAATTGCTTATATTCTCATTTTCATCAGCATGTGAATTCTACAATGTAATCTCATACCCTTACAAGTCTTGAATCAAGATGCAATATTTATTTATTTATTATTTCGATTTCGATTTCAATTACGAATAAATACATGTAATCATAACAAACAGGCTAGACGATTTTCTTTGAGAACTTGTAAATGATTACTTTATTTCGCTGGATCATTATTTGATAAGTGAACAAATTGTTTCGTTTAAAATATAAGACGCATGTTCGTGTAGCTTGTGTTTGATTGCCGATTTGACTTTTGTTTGATTGAAATGATTATCGTGAACTTTTGAATTTGACGATTCAAGAATAAAAGTGCAGTAAAGTTTATTTGATTCTAAGGAATTTTTTGGATCGATGTTTACAGTAAAGGTAAGAATTTTATCGTGTTATGCCTATACATTCTGTTGTATCTTTTATCCGAGTCGAAAGAAAAAATGGCCACCTTTTACAAATTCTAAGTTTCAGGGGCGGAGGAATTTGTTTTCAAGAATTATTTCTTTGAACAGAAATCCGCTATTTAAAAGTAGTTTATTTTGTTATTTTGACAGTTTATATGTGTTACATGATAAATAGAAAAACATGCTACTGTCTTCTGATATCAATTTTATCAGGCGAGGCTGATATGGGCAGAAAGGGCTCGGCAAGCCTCGCCCTTTTTAGCCCATATCAGCCTCGCCTGATAAAATTGATATCAAAAGACAGTAGCATGTTATTCTCTATGTAGAATTCACATGCTGATGAAAATGAGAAAATAAGCAATTGAAAAAAGTCCGTTAAAATGGGCGGGGCTTATCTTTGATCTCAGGTTACTGACCTGATATCAAAAATAATTATCAGGCAAGTGTTATCGGACAGTAACCATAGCAGTTGCATGATGGATATGTAAAACTAGTAAACATTTGTGTATTTGTGATTTTAAAAGTAATGTTACATGTACTGGTTTTAAAATTGCTGTTAGTAAAATATAATTTATTTATATTTAAGACGTTTCAACATATAAACTTAAACCTGGATTTCACGTACCTGAGAATTTTACTCCTCTGTACATACGACAGCTTTTATCACAGTTTTTTCTCCATGAAATCTGTTCAGATGCACATGAAGTGAATGTTGAAATTTTACGTTTTAATATGGAAGGGTATGTTTTTCATTTGTTCTTATTGTTTTGTTTTTTAAGTACATTTGTATAATTAACTATAATTAACTAATTTAATAAATTTTGATCGCATATATTAAGACAAAGCTATATTTCCCCTTTGTGGCTGCGTGAGTGGGGTTGCGTGATCGTAAAAAGCGACTAATTAGGTCGAATTCCTTGAGTCAATGCATCTCTCCTAGCTTCAGCAGATGAAGTTGTATTGGCACCTATTGTTGCCAAGTTTGCCAAAACTCAGGTTAGCCAAAGACATCTTTCCTGCTCGGTGCCATGTGAACTAAATAAGGTGAGTGCGCCAAAACAAAAGAAAACAAACAAAAACTGTGTTTAATGGAATATAATTGTATTCAGACATCGGATAAATTGATAAAATAAGCAAGTATGCCATCATTTATTAAAGTCTTTTAATAAACTAGAAAACAAACATACATTACATACATTATAATGTTCAAGACATATAAAGAAAATAATGAATATACATAACATTCCTGCAATTTAAGACTATAAAATAGATCAATTTTGCCGCCTTTTAAACTGTCAATTCATACATTTTCATGATACTTAATGATTTAGTCAAAGGCAAACTTTTTGTAACATGTTTGTCAAACTTAATTTAATTATTTGTATAATTAGCAATTCATATTAATTATAAATATCCTTATTAAAGTTAACACTCAATTCAATTCAATTATTTTTTATTTTATTATCATATAAACATAAACATGTTCGTCGCCATACATTCAATTACGCGGTTACATACAACATGAGAAGAGCATGAGCATTAATACATATATATCATGTGTATATTAGTAGTATCATATCAACATATATCCCACACAATGGTTATATCAAAAATTAAGAGTAACGAAAAAGACACAAGACCAAAAAAGACCCCCCCCCCCAAAAAAAAAAAAAAAAAAAAAAAAAAAAACAAACAACAAAAAACATGACGCTTAATTGATTTGATACACTGACCTAAATTATCGTGTTGATTGTCGATAAATGGCTACTGTACTGTTATATGCATGGTGTAAATGATAGTATGATTTTGCGCGAGAATTCAGTGCCATATAAGGTTATCATTTTTTTCTTATTTATGAAAAGGCCAATGTATGAGATCAATTAGTTTCACATGGCTACATTGTAAAATGCATGAACATTGTAATCTGTAAATAGCACATATTTCTAAATAAAGTATATCATCCGATACGTTTCTAATTTGCTAAATGAATAAATTTTGCAAGTTTACACATAATACTTGTTTGATTTGAAGCTAACAATCCTTAAAACTTTTGTAAAGATGTCCAATTACAATGATATTTTGGAAGGCATCTTTTCTTTCATCTCTATAAAGCGGACAGACCAATACAAAGTGATTTTCGTCTTCTTCTACCTTCATATTACAATATACATATTTTCTATTACACTGCTCTACATTTCTAGATCTACCTTCCTCAATAGCTAATTTATGTGCTGAACAGCGTAATCTTGATAGAGCAATACGATGATTATTATTAACAGCACAAAATAAATATTTTTCCAGACATATGTTTGTTTTAATTTTCTTATATGTACTTAGTTTAGGCATATTATTTAACGTACTATAAAAAACTTGATACTATTGATCATATAATCTCTCAATTACTTTATCTATTCGAACTCTAGTGACATATCATTCCAAAAATAACTTAAACCTAGTTCATCAAGTAGATGTTTCACACCCGAAGCCCAAGATCCTAATGTATTAGTATTAACTTGATTGATGAAACATTTATATATTAATGTATCTTGGGAGTTTAAAATTCTATACCAGTATTCCAATATTCTCCCTTTACGAACAATATCTAACGGTACTTTACCCCGTTCACCAATGACAGCTTTATTTGTAGTTTGAGACCTTACACATAATAATTGTTTACAAAATTTAATATATACCCTCTCAATATCAGGGGCCTTATGAAATCCCCATATTTCACACCCATAAGTTATTGTTTTTAAAATCATTGAATCAAAAAGTTTTTGTCTTCTCGTTAACACTAAGTGGTACAACATCAAATAAGGAGTTTGGTGTAAATATGGCACGAAGTGCTTGTTCTGATAAAGATTTTTGAGTTTTATAAAATTTATCTTTTCCTGTTAAAACTACACCTAAATAACAAAATGTACACGCAACATTTAACCTTGTTTCATCATAATATAAATCAACTTGCTCAAACCTATTTCCTAATTTAAAAATCATAGCAACTGTAATATTTACAGTGGCATTGCACTTTAAACAATTCGACTTTAATTTATTCAATAATAATTGCAAGCCATTAGGCGAAAATGAAAACAACACAGTATCATCTGCGAACATGAGCATAAATATTTGCAATTCTTCTTAAGTTATCGGTTATCAGTTATAAGCACTATTATCAGCAATATACCTTTCCATGTCAGTTATTACAGTATAAAAAGCAAGGGAGACAATGTTTCGCCTTGCTTAACGCACATATAACTATCAAAATGATCAGTACTATTACCTTGCACCCTTACACAAATTTTCACAAAGTTATACAAAGACATAGTTAAAGAAAAAATATATCGCATTAGTTTATACCAAATACATTATCAAAAGCTTTTTTAAAGTCTACAAATACACAATACAATTTTTGACGTTCCTGGTGGATTATTTTATTTTGTCTGCAATACAAATATACAGTCAAGTGTACCTCGTTTTTGTCTAAAACCAAATTAATAATCTGTTAATATGTGATTTTCTTCGGCAAATTTTCGGGCCCTTTTATCTAACAAATATGAAAATATTTTTGAAAAGATCAATGTATCTTCAAAATTCTATACCAGTATTCCAATACTCTCCCTTTACGAACAATATCTAACGGAACTTTCCCAGTTCACCATCTAATATTCCCTTTGTCTAGATTCCGGATAAACACCCTTACTATATAAAAAGTTAAAATGTTTACATAATATTGGTGCTAATATATGTTTTGCATCAATAAATATTTCAGGTAGTAACAAATCCTCACCTGCACTTTTATTCCGTTTTAAATTTTCTAGAGCATTATATATATTTCAGCAATACTAAAGTAACAATCTAGTTCATTTACAGCAATATCTAAAAAGTCATGATTAACAATTTGTTCGGTATCTGGGTCAGAATAAATGGTATCATTTGAAAACAAACTTTTAAAATGTTCGTAAAAATCATTTCCAGTCAGATTTGAACCGTCTTTACATTTTTTTCTGTATTTACGAATCAGTCCCAAAACCTTTTAGGATTTTGATTCCCAGCATTATGTAACTCAGACTTCTGTTTTAATTCATATACAAGTTTAGCACTTCATTTTATCCTTCTGTAATAACGTCTTTTATTTATAACAAAAATAATGTTTGTGTTCTCTGACTCCGATACACTTTGTTTGCATGATTTAATTCAGACTTAGCGGTTCTACAATCGCACGTAAACCACGGATTACACACTGTTTTCCCGTGTACTTAGTTTGTTTACAACAACAATTTTAAATGCACTGTTATACAGTACGTTTCCAAAAGTGATGATACCATTATCAACTGTTAAATTTGACGATACATGTATTATATTTGTAACAATGTCATTTAATATACCTGTTTCTTTTATTAAAGAATCTTTATATTGGTCAACATGATCATTATCCCTTTTCAATTGGCGTGTGCTACTTAAAATTATTTAAAAATATATATATAATTTTATTTTTATGAGCTGCAGTATTGAATTGAATAGGTACATGTGTAGAAAAAAAAAATATATCATGTACAATAAATTTATAATAAATAATGTACACTTATTATAGGAAACAAATCGTAAGATGCAATTCCATAGTCAATAACACTTTTCCCAATATTTGATAAAAATGTTACTCGTCCGATATTTCTATCATCGCCCATACGATTAAATCTGTACTTTTGCAAATGTCTAGAAGTTTTATTCAAGAAGAGTTACATACTGTATCCTCGCTTACCCTTGTGTCAATTTTAAAAACGTACTCCTCTGTTTCAGCATCAATAGTATGAATATATTTATCAAATAAGTCAACTTGTTCGATAAAATCATCTCTGGTATCTGTCCTTGCATTTAGATCTCCCATAAGACAACTTTTGCAAAGTTGAGAATATTTTCTAATACATATTTCTGTTCATAAAATCCTATTTCATGTGACTTAAAGTACACCGATTCATTCGGGGGAATATAAGTAAAACATAGACAAATATCAAATTCAAGTTTAAAATATTCTATTATACACTAGATGTATAATGGTCAGTGTTTAATTGCATTGGCTATGCATCTGTTAAACAAAACAGTCATTTTATAATTTAAACAATATCAATTTGATAATTTCAGGACATTAGAATTTAAAGCAGAGTGTGATAACAAAGCTCTAAGCAGCTTACTGTTCAATACACATATCTATCTACTGAGCCTAACAAATAAAGCAGCTTTGGGAAGATATTTTCCGAACAGTCCTTTACTTGTTCCAACAGTTCATCAACAACTAGCTAGAGGGGTATGACCACCATTTCAATAAATCAGAACAAAATATACACCTTTGAAAGTGTACATACCCGTAATAGATAATTCATTGCCTCAAGAATAAGATAACATTTACATGTAGTTATATTGAATAACCAAAACATAATATATTTTATGCCTTTTCATTCATAGTGGCAATTAATGTATTTATTAATACAGGTTTTTAACAATTTTCAAAACTCTTACAATATTTTCAAATTTTGAAGGCTTCTAAATAAGTTTTAGGAATACAGTAAATTTAAATGTTAAATATACTTGTATTTCAGGCGACGATATTTGTTATGTTGAGACCGATACATTATCATGATTCCTCCACGTCATGTGGACACAATGGCTGTAATGTTGATATACAAGTTTGCTTGAAAGCACAGTCTAATGGGTGAGAAGATAACAATAATTAGATTTTAAGGTGATAGCTTCGTACAGCCGTATGAATATAAGTTATAGAGAAACTAACTCTAAAGAATTATAGTAACAAGATTGTGCATGTGTAAGGGGGGCTCCATTGAGCTTTTTTGACATGACAGGACTGGATTATTAACCCCATTTGATATAGGCCTGTCTATACAAACATCTTATGTGCATTTATCCTAAATATTTATTCTAATTCTGAAAAAGAAATGACCCAAAATTGAAAAGCGTTGCTATATCTTAGTTATCTTTTGTATACCTTTCTGTTTTAAGTATTCAAGTTGATCTCTGAGATTAAAATTTTATGTTTTTATGTTTATGTCGTACTCAACTGGCCAAACGATAAACTGGTTATCTTATATATAACCTAATTTAAAAAAAAAAACTCACATCAGCGGGGTCACCGACTAGAACACTGTCTGACCACGACATGCAGCGTTTATATCGATATTCTGACTTGAGCAGTTTATCTACTGAATATCAGCTGATTTTATTGTCCGTCCGTCTATTAGCTGTTTTGTGTCCACTCTGTATATTTTTAACCGATTGTAAGAAATTCAAAATACTAAACAGAAATATTAAAGCTATGAGACGATATATGCAGAACGCGGGTTAGGGTTTTTATCGGGTCAAAGTCAAGTCCACAATAAGTTATGAATTTCAAACTTTCATGACGGCTCTATATCGTTTGAACCTACGAAAGGAAATCAAAAGTACATATATTTGACTGATGAATTAATTGTAATGAAACGATCAGCATAGCGCAGGTTTTGACTTGTTCCTCGCACGGTGAGTGCAACATTGACTCATTTATATCCTTTTTATGTTCAGTAAAATTCTACTAGTTTGTTATCTTATAGTTAGTTGCTAAAATATTTTTATATTTGTTTTAATTAAATTTTATTTTTTAGCCTGACAAAATTTTGAATACTGAGAGAAATTTAAATGTCTATGATTAAAATAGTATTTTGAAATAAGACAATATTTAATTTAGTAATAAAAACTGATGAAAATTAAAAACATGTAAAATCATCAAATTGCAACAAGATGTAAATGTGACGTATAAACAGATAAAATTTTATTAAACTTTGAAGTTATTAAACTTTGAACATGAATGAAACATGTCTGCGGATACCTGCAGTTGTTAGCTTCTGTTACTTATGAAAACGGAAAAAAAAACAATTCCCCAAAGTGCGTTTAACCCCAATGTGCGGTGTTACTAGCTGTATCTGTTGAATGACACATTATCATTAAATACAATTTACAGAGTATCCAATATTACAAGTTGCAAAAAGTTGATTGCTGAATAAAAACATATTTTTATATTCAATTAATATCTAATGTTAAAGCTTAGACATTTTGCATGAATCAATGAATGGATTCAATAAGATTTCAAGTCCAGTGGTCAATCAGATAGGAAAACTTACTTACATGTATGTCTTTTTGTGTATCATAGACCTAGAAAAAAACTAAAATAGTTACTTAAAGCAAGGCGAAACAAAATGGTTCTGCCCATGAGGATGGGGGAGTCACTGAAATTACATGTACTCGTACGTACATATTTGGATCTATATAATAAACCTGTCTTAAAGTTTTTTTCATGCAAACACACAGCTCCGCGCGCAGCACCACGTGGTTTGACTGTATAAAAGTACAATTATCTCATTTGCACAGATCGAATGTCTGTGTGGGTATTTTATTGGTATTATTTATGTGAAGGGAAGTTATAAAGACAAGGAAATTCTTTGTTTACATATCATGTTGATTTTTGTAATAATATTTTCTGCTTTTGAAGCACTGGTATTATATTACATGTATTTGTATGTTTCTTTCTATCTTGATAATTAAAAAAAGCAAGCGTTATTGTTGTGTACAGTCACTATATATACGCTCGTACATGTACAAATTTACCTCTTTCCGCCCTGTAAGCTCACTTGGTGGAACAAACTTTGAACTGTAAATCGGGCAACCCAGGTTCTGCAGGTCACTTTCTGTGGTCTTTCGCACTGTACCTTTGATGTGCAAAAAAGTAATAACAGTTCTTTGCAAAAGTAAAAACATGTAGTACTGGTAAACTGCTTGACAGCCTGTCTGGTAAATTTAAAGTGTCTTACTACAGTGATTTGGAGGTAAACTTCAGAAAACAAACTCATTATCTTGTCCATAAGCATATAGAAGTATCTCCCATTTAGATGTCATTGCAAGATCTTAGTCACTTAGTATGTATCAATATAGATTTAAAGTTAAATGAAATAACTATGCACTTATGTTTATAAATGCCACTGGGGACACACAGTATCATACTTATAATCCAACAAAACATGTTCTAATTGTAAAGAATGATCTTCTTTTCTTATTTAAAGATTATTATACCACCGCACAACAAAGTTGTAAGAGGGGTATACTGGAATCAGCTTGTCCGTCCGGCTGTCCGGTCTTCCGTCGATTTTTTCTTGTCCGCCCAATAACTTGAGATTCCTTTAACCCACTGTCTTCATATTTTGCATGGAGGTAAGTCATAACGAGAAGATGACCCTATTGATTTTGAGGTCACCAGGTCAAAGGTCACAGAGGCCTTGACTTCAAAAAGCTTGTCCGCCCAGTAACTTAAGATCCTTTGACCCACAGTCTTCATATTTAGCATGGAGGTTAGTCATGACGAGTAGATGACCCCTATTGATTTTGAGGTCACCAGGTCAAAGGTCAAAGTCACAGGGGCCTTGACTTCAAAAAGACTGTCCGCCCAATAACTTAAGATTCCTTTGACACACAGTCTTCATATTTGGCATGGAGGTTAATCATGACGAGTAGATGACCCCTATTGATACTGAGGTCACCAGGTCAAAGGTCAAGGTCACAGGAGCCTTGACTTCTAAAAGCTTGTTCGCCTAATAACTTAAGATTCCTTTGACCCACAGTCTTCATATTTGGCAAGGAGGTTAGTCATGATAAGAAGATGATCCCTATTGATTTTGAGGTCACCAGGTCAAAGGTCAAGGTCACAGGGGTCTTGCATTCAAAAAGCTTGTCCGCCCAATAACTTGACATTCCTTCCACCCACTGTCTTCATATTTTGCATGGAGGCTAGTCATGATTAGTAGATGACCCCTATTGATTTTTTGGGACACTGGGTCAAAGGTCAAGGTCACAGGGACCTTGACTTTAAAAAGCTTGTCCGCCCAATAACTTAAGATTCCTTTGACCCACAGTCTTCATATTTGGCATGGAGGTTAGTCATGATTACCCCTTTTGATTTTGAGGGTACTGGGTCAAAGGTCAACTAAAAACAAAATTTCCCCTCAATTGCTTAAGAATGCCTGTCCACAGTGTATTGATTTTGACATTTTCACATTTGAAGCATGTAGAATACATAACTTAGAATGCACTGGCTCAGATTTGGCAGGGACGTTGTCCTTGAGCTCTAAATGGCCACTGTTGATTCTGACAAAGTGGTATGCGGGGGTATTCACGCCATGACAGTGGCAGTTCTAGTTTTGATTACTCAAAACTAATTTGTATTCGAGCGTATCAATATACAATACTATCAATTGTTCCGCTTATGCGATGTTCTTTTTTCTCAATTTTAAAGCATTTGTCAAGAGACAGTTTCGGTTCAATCGAAGTTAATAACAACAAATCTTACAATATGTGATGGAATTCTTGTCAATTCGCAGCCGACAAACCAAGGATACAACTTGCTAGGTGTTAAATCATGGCCGGTAAACATTTTTTATTCATTCATTATTCTTTGTATATGTAATATGTGCTTTAATTCATCACTAGGGCATTTCATACAGATATTTATCAATTTAATGTGCATGTATATAGTTTTTCTTCAAACAGCATGCCTCTATATAGATTCATGCTAATTTTCATAAAAATGAATTAAAATGTAAAATATTGAGAGGTAAACAAGGAAAGTGATTTTCACATTGAAAACGGCCCTTACAACTCGGTAATTTGCTAAAACGAGAACAAAATACACAAAATCTGCCTTACTGCGATAGTCACGCAATAAAAATATGCATTGTGATAAATACTGCAAAATCAGTAATTAGTCGCACATTATATTCAAATTATTCCTTGAATCTTGAATAAAGAGCCATGCATGTTTAAAACAAGGATGATGAAAACTCGGAACAACGATATTGAAAAGTTGAAATAATGAAACAACGAAACCACGATGGTGAAAAGTCGAAACAACGATGATGACATGGTGCTTTCGTTGTTTCGCGTTTGCACAATCGTAGTTTCGTGTTCTCAACATGTGCTTGTTAAAGTGCTCTTTATTTTCAAATGATTGTTTCACCTCAACATCATATTTTTATTATAATTTAGACTAAGTACGCGTGTAGTTCAACTTCTTGTCATACCATTATCGTTCAGATTGAGTGCAATGTTAATTATGTTTGAGATTTTCAAAATTCTAAAGCATCAGTTTGACTCACAATTTAAGAATACTTTGTTTATCCATTAGGAAAAAACATGTAATCAATAAACATCATTACGGCAAATTTGCATTATTCTAATGAAAATTATGTTTTCAAACTGATTTTTATATTTCGTATCAATTTCAAATGGCAATACCTTCCTGCATAAGCTCAACTGATTCGGGACTTCGACATTTGGTTGGGTATTCCAAGTATTGCTACTTGAATACTTCATGTATTTCATAATCCACAGTATATGTTGACGAGTTTATAAAGTTGTCTTTGGCATCTTGGCTGTGATAAGCAGGCTTAGAGTCCACTGTGAAGCTGAACTTTATGAACCACAACTCAATAATGATAGTGGTTTTTTTTTGTTGTTGTTGTTGTTGTTGTTTTCGTTTGTTTGTTTATTTATTTATTTATTTATCTATTTAATTATCGATATAATTTTCTTATTTTTGTATTTATTTTTTTGTTATTTATCTTTTTATAATTCATTTTGTTTCATCTATTTTTTGTTGTTGTTTTTTATTTATAAATGTTATTTCATTTCTTTCTTTTATTTAGAGAGAGAGAGAGAGAGAGAGAGAGAGAGAGAGAGAGAGAGAGAGAGAGAGAGAGAGAGAGAGAGAGAGAGAGAGAGGGAGGGGGAGAGAGAGAGAGAGAGAGAGATTAATAAGATTGCCGAGTGTTTTGACATAAAAACATGTTCAATATGAAACCCCAGAAAAAAGTAACCAATGAACGAGCATCTGAATATGATATTTCTTGGCAACTACTCGGCCCTTTCCGTCAGTCTTCGGATAAGGACCTCGACACAATAGTATGAATACACAGAACGGATGCGGTATTTCGGTCTAACCTACGCTAAGAAACTTAAAGGGACTCCACTGAGGTTTTTTGACATGATGGGACTGAAAATATTTTTTCCAGATAAATGTATCATTTGATGTTAGGTGTAGACCACGAATCTTTATGCAAACTTTCAGATCATTCGCGCACTTTGTTTTTCCATTATTATTATTCAAATTGTAAAAAAATGACCCAGTATGAAATAGAGGATATTTGTTTAGTTCAGTGTAAGATCGGAATATATTTCACCGAGTGAGCACCAAAAGGTATATTTCACGAGTGGCGCAGCCACGAGTGAAATATGAACTTTTGGTGTTCACAAGGTGAAATATTTCGATCTTACACTAAACTAAACAAATTTTCTTTTTATTACATGCAAAGAAACGTTTTAAAAAGACATTAAACCTAATACTGAATGAAAAGCGCGCCAAATAATAATACAACGTGACGTCATTTACGACGTCACGTCATTAAGTTGGTACCCAGTACTGTGCACGCTGGTATTTTACTTAAACAACGTGAGGGGCTGAAATTCAAAACAGTGAAATTATCAAAGTGGTAATTTCACTGTTTGAAACAGTGAAATTACCAGTTTTATATCACTGATATATTTCTATAAACCACCGAAAAGCATGTAATAAAAGCGTTTAAACGCTTTTCACTCAAATAACGCTAAGAAAAGCATAAAAATACGATTTTCGATTTATTTTAAAGTATATTTCTAAACTATCTTTGCATATATTTCTGTTTAAAGCGCCCCAGTTCATTTATGTTAGAAATTATAATGTTATGTTTTTAGGCTTTTAAACCTCCGTGGAGTCCCTTTAACATGTTAACAAATAGTAATTTAATGCTGGGAGTTGTTGACAAGTTTATTTCCAGTATATGTAGTAAAATAAGTGAATTCATAGGTACAAAAGCAACAAATACATTATTTACATATTTACAATTATGGCTGTAGAAACCGAAAGTACAAAAAACCAACCTGCTGACATTTAGTCGGATTTGTTTAAAATTGAACATCAGTGGGCTTAAATTACGAATTGTTGTAAGACATATTTTCAAGCATAAGATTAACGGAACAGACATTAGATATATTATATTTAGATAAAAATATTTACATTCGTTTTTCATTATTAGTCGCCGGTAGAAACCGGCGACTATTTTTGTAACTGTTTAATATTAAATATTTATCACACACCCGTGCCGATTTCGCGACTCCGTAAATATGGTATTGCACGGGGATTTAGCTCAATACAGGATTGGAGCAGTACCTTGCAGAAATCATGATCACAAAATAGACAAATATCGTTTTTTTCGTCGAATTTTACATTTTTCCTTGATTATCGTACTTGATTCGGGGTGAAAAGATGAATTAGACATGTTAAAGTTCATTCCGTTGGGTAAAAAGACATGATTTTAGCATTTTATCATTCAAGCGCCTTGTCCGGTATATACCGGAAAACTGTATTTAGTGTGTTGCTCCAATCCTTTTTTAAGTCACAGCCATTGCACGGCCGTGCATATATTTTGACGTGACGTCATTAGCGTTATACAAACATAGTGTAAAGACGCGCTAAATGTTAGCGTTCTACTAATGAAAAATGACTCTTATTTCACGTGAAACGGTCTTTATTTTGGGTATGTGATAAATAGAATATTAAATTCGTGTAAGTTAAATACTAAATTTATTGCACTCGTTGAATAAAATAATATTATGCTCGCCAGAGGCTCGCATAATATAATTTTATTCAACTCGTGCAATAAATTCAGTATTGAACTTACACTCATTCAATATCCTCTATATCTATGGTAGGAGAAGGCCTTAAAATTTGAATATAAAAACAAAAAAATTATTGAACAATTAAGGACCACAATTAATTTTCATAATCCTAACAATTCAAACATTAAATAACGTTTGCTCAATGAAATGAAATATACAAATATTGACATCTTTAAAAGCAACATTACCATTTTCATAAAATGAATTATTAATGTATCCCTATGGACCAGTCATTGAATTTAGGGATACTTTTACTTTTTTAAGTGTCAAGCGTTGCTATTTTATGATCGATAAATCATGAATGATATTTGAAATGACACTTTTAAATTATTTGGTTGTTTATATCTTATGAGATCTATTATATTTCATTATTTTATCTAATTATAAACAGATTCTCCCTGTTCTGTAAGAATTACGTGACTACACGTTGTATGTTATTGTTATAAAATCTATTAATAATAACAGATTGCTGATAAGACATACAGGTAGCTTGTAGGTATGGCGGCTGATGATGCAAATCATAGTAATTCTGTATAAATAATTGCAAAGTTATTTTTCATTAATCAGTTTCATATCTTATATCTTCATAAAGATCTGTATACTCATAAGGAATACATTTTTAAAACCTTTATAAACTTGGCCCTTTCTGTCAACGTTCAATAGTTTAGTTTAGGTTGAACATCACAAAATAGATTTATGCTAACGAGGCACATTTATTGAAATAAATAGTGGTAATCGTCGTCTTCGTTATATTCCGTTGATTTCCGTCGCGCAGGTTACGGTAGGGGTCCGGAATCGTATATATATATATATATATATATATATATATATATAAAACTAATAAAATATTGTTTTCTTGATATTGTATCAAAGGCAATTAAACGTTAACTATATCGTATGTAACGACAGGAATATTGATTTCAACTAAATTATATATTTTATCGATAGCGCATAAGAATTATTTCTTTTATGTAGATACATGTACCACTTTTACGACAGAATTGCGTTGTTTCATGCAATAATTAAAACATATATATTTTCAGTCATCTCGATTTATCAACTTATGTTTCATATAGTTAAAAGAAATAATAAAAAATATTTTTATGAAAACTACAAAAAGGATTTTCAAAGATTCGAACTTGGCCTACTAGTACTAGGTCACAACTTCGTCATACTTACCACTAGGCAATCGAGCAATATTAATTGATTTAATATTGTGATCTATACTATCAATTACATTTTTAGCATTAATCATAACTTAGTAAACTAACGAAGCACCTCCCGAAAATTAATGACTCTCAGGTCAATATTGCCAAACGATACTTGCTTATTTAATAATAATAATAGTTCCTTGACAGTATTGCTAAGCAAGTTTGCTTCAAATGTGATGTTTATTGTGAATAAACAGGTACTCAACATATGGTTCCTTTTTTCTTTATACTTGAACCATTTATTAAACTGATATTTCATTATATTTATGATAATTATAAATACATTTATTTTTCTATCCGGCGACTTGATGCTTTAGCATCAAAACCTCTACTTGTCTCTATTTCTGTTTACATATGAAACCACGTTGTAGAACTACTTTCAATCCGTATAGTTTCCGAGGTTATTATAGATAATAGCTGAGGCAGTTCCGAAGGAATTATCTGCCGTCACAATAAGTAAACCCCGGCAACAATGAGCCAATCAATGGGCATTCTCTGGAGTGCGTTTAACTTATACCTGCATTCCAGTTAACGCTCTGCGCATGTATATGTAAACGATTTAACTTTGACACATTTTCAACAGAAAGGTCACCAAACTATGATTCAAGTTTGGGAATACGTGTATATTGATCTCTTTCTTTGGTTACTTCTGTCAAAATTCTACTCGAAACGAAATAGCAAAATGATGACTAGTTATAGTCATAAGTTATTAGTATATTTAAAGCTTCTTTAATATGCTTTGAAAAATGGTACTCTAGGAATATAACCAACTGTAAATTGATGGTGTTAAAGAAAGAACGAAATTCAATGTTACAATACCTATCGTACTGTTATACAATTACCATGAATTATTTCCGAGCGAAGAAAAAAATATAAAAACAAAGATAGATAATGATAGTACTTATGAGATCATATCAGTGTTTAAGGCGCTATGTTAATGTCTAACAATAATGCAATTATAATATACTTGAACAACTTGTATAGGCATTTTGCAATATTATAAGTGTGCAATATATTCCCATCATTATTTGCAGCAAACTGCACAACGCGCCAGCACTGAATTTCTATTGTTGTTGTTGTTAGAGATAAGAATATATCCATCCCTTTCGATTGAATTATTGCATCCCATAATTGTTTTCTCCTTGCTGTGTTTTTTTTTGTACATAAGCATAGCACATGCGTCACAACACTATCGTTTAAAAGTTCAGTTTTTACATAAAGAAATATAGCTTGGCAATTAAGTCTAACAAGAAGGAGCAAATATATTGTTGTTTCGGATTATGTCGGGCCACTTTCCACAGTTGCGATGGACTATCAGACAGAACAATCCGTTGAAGCTCTTGCCTTTTTGAGAGCAACCTTTCAAATCTATCATTTTTCGCTCTCTGTAAAACAGTTTTTATCAGAACCGATTTCCAAGACTGTTTACAAGGAAATATATCACAGTTCACAAAAGTTCTCACTACTTCTTCAAGATTATACTTTTGAAGCAGGCGGTAAATGTCAGGGATAAATCCAAATATTTGTTTATCAAAGTGTAGATACTTGGTCTGTCTGTTGATTAATACGTGTTTTACCAAATATCTGCAAGGCAAACGACACAGTTGTCCGAAAAATTGAAGCTTCCTGTAATTTAAGATAGGTTCAATATCATTGAGGTTAATTGCATTCAGGGCTAAGTCTGTTGGAGTTCTTGGTTTGAGTCCCTGAATGAATTTCACACAAACCTATTAGAAATTTCCAGCTGATGCATATCTGTAGATGAGTAACTATTCCAAAGTGCACAACCATACTATGCACGATGAATGACAACAGAGCAATAAATAGTTCTTGAGGTGATTAAAAGTTGAGGATTTATGCCATTATTATGAATGCTAAGCAAAGTGCCGCAAAGTTTGTTTCCTGCATCAAATATTGGTTTCTTTGTACTGAGGGTTTTGTCAGTTTCTAGGCCTAAATGTTTATAACTTTTTGTTTCTTTGATCACTTCATTTCCTAATTTGAACTTGATTCTGTATTTCTTAGGAACAATTACTCCACACTTCATGACATTATAGTTATATCTCATGGACGGGAATAATTGGAGCATATATCGAGCATTTTGTCCATACCACATTTCGACAAGGACACTAGGACCATATCATCGGCTACAGTTGGGGTTGAAACATTTAGGTCATATACACAAAAGCCATATCCACACTTCTCTAATTCCTTTATCAACCCATCAATGAAGAGGAGATAAAATAATGGCGAACTTTTCCCTCCTTGTCTAGTTCCTTGTAATACGGGAAAACTGTCTGATTTGATACCTTGATACTTAACATAGCTAGTCACTCGTTTATACATTTCGACATGGGGATTATTGTTGTATTGTCTACTTCACATTGAATAAGTTTGTAAAATAATCCCGAATGCCAGACATTGTCGAAGGCTTGACGTCCATCTAAATAGCACGGCAAACAATATGCTCTCGCGTAATAGAAATGACGTCATCAAGCAACCAAATTTCTCTAGAAAACCACCTAGTTGAGAACTAAGTTTTTTTCAGTAAAGTATTTTTACATCTTGATAACAATACAAGCTCGAATAATTTCAAAATCACTGATGATAATGTTATAGCACAACAGTTATTGGGATCATCCGTCCTTTTAGTGTCTCCTTTATGTAAGGTTATAATCATGCCTTTTTTCATATCGTCTGGAATGTAGCCAATCCTAAGCATATTTGTGAATAAATTGGCTAAAATTACAGAAATTAATGTCTTTTGAATGAAATTAAATGTTCATATACTAAATTATCCTCAACACATGCTTTTCCTGCTTGCAGGGTTTGTATAGCCTCAGAAACTGTGTCTGTACAAGTACTGTTATATCGGTTGGGATATGCCCCAGTGTTTCATTTACCGTGGCTGTCACTGACTGCTTCCAATATTCATCAATTCTTGGGATTCATTAAATGTATACAAAGATTAGAAATACAGTCCCCACTCTTTTGAAATTTGTTCTCGGTCTCTTATTATTTTACCGTGGAAATTTATACCTTCAGTCATTTAACATTGATCCTTTCGTTTTCGTGAATTCACTAGTTTCCAAAATTGAGTTGAATCGATTTCTGCAGTTCTATCCAACTTCTTTGTTTAATATTTATTTGAAGACAACTGATGTTAAACTGAACACCTACCTTTTTTATCTGATTGAATGTTCTAAGGCATGATAATTGATTTCACAAGGTGTCAAAACTTTTTGTTATTATATTATTGTATGAAATACGGTTTGTAGTAAATATTAGAGTCACTGTGTCACATTTATTTTGAGAATGATTAATTTCTTGTATGATAGGTGAAATATGCACACCATATAATTAATTATAATGAATTCAGGCCAAAGAGAATTTAATATCAAATTGCTTCAGAATTTATTTTGCTATCATCAATTAGAATCATTTAATCATCACTGGTATATGACCCCTATTGACTTTGAAATTAGTAGGTCAAGGGGCCCAAAATGGTTGACCTTGACCTACTAATCTCAAATTGATAGCTTCACTTTTGTCCTATGATCATGAAAATTGGTAGCGAAGTTAATCATCATTCACAGATGACCCTTATTGATTTCAAGATCAATAGGTCAAAGGTCACTAACAGAATGTATGAGGGGGAATATTTCTTGTTCTACGAACTTTTGTTCATAATATACACACGGTGCAATTTTTGTGACCTCGTGTACATAAAATTTAAATGTTTGATTGGCACAACACGTAAAGTTCTATGCAAGATCAAAGGAAGTTAGAATTCCTTTTTTTCCTGCTTTAGATATGACCTTTCCTTACTATTTATACTGTATACATATTTCACAAGTTGTGTAACTTCAATTACTAACTTTAACAAAAATTCTACTGCCGGCGTATAAATATTAAACTTGTTAGGCTATTAGCATGATACTTTCCTGTTATTTTGTAACGCGTACCGAGCTCATATGTATTTGTCTTCAATATGATATATAAATAATTTACCTCTAAGTTTTCTTACCAAAAGGTTTGAAGACCAATGATTTTGAAATGATTGGAATGATAAAGAATCAATTTAAATTAGACAATATTAAATAAACAATATATACACAATATGGATATCTCCGGTGATAATACCAAATCCTAGTCTTGATGCCTAGTCTCGATGCCTTCCGAACAATACCGTCTCGATGCCTAGCTATTATACTGTGCTCGTATTTTATATGCGTCTGTTTTATTTTCTAAACAATTATGGAACAAATATCTTGCAACCCGGTTTACTTTCTGTAATCTTCTCCAGTAGCGTTGCTCCCTATAGAGAACACGGATAACAGAAAATATATAGCAGGTTTAACTTCAAAGCTCTAAGAGTACAGCAGATATAACTCCAAAGCTCTAAGATTAGATGTTGACCGATAAAACTAAAACTCAACGTGTATATAATTTGCACAACAACACTCTTTTACGGCTATTTATAATTGGCTAATCAACTTATAATACGATTATGCAGAAACGAGCACTGTTAAAAATTTTAAATATATCTTATAGTCTGCAATAAGGATAATATCAAATTAAACATTGTAGAAGAAGCTTTTTATACATTTCATTAAAATCACTTCAAAGGAATGCTCACATAATTATTTACAACAGAACAATAGCAAACTATCCTTGATAGCAGGTATAGATATAATAAGATTGAGAACGTATAACGAGCAGATGGCGTTGCTGTAATCATTGGGCCCTAACTGGTAATAATTGTTACATTTTCAGTACTTGATGTTCTCGTAAATCACATTTATGTAACATGGTAATGGCATACGTTTTGTAAATAAAAATAGTCACATAACAGTATGATCTTACTACATTTTGTTAAAACATATATTAATCTTCAGCAATCAGTGTAGACAGATAAATTAAGTCGATATGTTTATTTGTTTTATTTCCTTCAATATTAAATTACAGGTTTTTCAAGTGACAGTACAGTACAATGAACACAAAATTAAATTTGAAAATCAACAACACCCGCCGGCATCATATGAAGCAGGCGCCCTCTATAACAAAGCAAAACCACTTCAAATGACGTTCTCATCTGGTGACAAAACGTAATGAACGTACAATTTTATATTTTATTAATTTTATCGCACAAGATAAGAAAATTTCCATTAAATATTATAACTATTTAGTTGTTTGAGGTTTAATATTTTGACAATAACATTCATATGATCTATGTATCTTGACAAAAGATAAGTAACAGGATCTTCTTCCGTTGTGCTTCTTTACTATTTGACCACATACTTTTGGGGGAAAAAAACAACAAAGCGGTTAATAAAATTAAGTTCTAGGTATTACTTGTTTCACAGTAATAATGTCTTTGCCGATCTGTATTTTCTATCACTTGAAGTGTTTTATTTAAAGTTTAGTTCTAGAAGCAATGATTTGGTGCGACACTCATCATTCTGGCAATCATTGTCAACATAGTTGTATAGCAACAGGAAGTAAAATATGTGACGAGAATGGACACTTGGTTTGCAAGACAGGTAAATCTAAGACATTATTAATGATTGCTATGACTCTTGCTGGTGCTGATGGTGACAATGTTGCCGATTCTGTTGCTGTTTTGCGTTAGTTGAAAAATCAATTACCAATCATTAAATTAAAAAACTTGCCTTAAGTTGTCCTCAAACAAGTTTTCTCTTTTTTCTCTTTCTACGCTAAAGTTTTCCTGCAATACATAACCGACACATGAAGATGTTTCAACACTTGAATAAAGAATGGTATGAAACATTTTGATTTGAACAACGTCTTTAATCTGAATTCGTACTTTCAAATTTTATGTGAATAAGTTTGTCAGGATCTTTGTTTTATTTTTTGACTTCTGAATGTACAATTTATTTCCCATAAAGAAATTTACAATAGAAATTCTGCATTTTCCAACTTAATGCTGTTTTCAAAGACAAATAATTATCAATCTAAAAGTAAAGCAAACATTATAATCATATCGTCTTCATAATAATGCTGGCATTATAATAATATGAAGAACGCAACCAATTTTTATTCACACAGAGGTCGCTTATTGTTGTCGCGAATAATGGTGACCCCGCTCGAGCGGTATCGGTGTAAACGAAGAACTAATGTAAGATCAAAATGTACCGCTCATATTTCTGTCAGATACGTGTTTATATTTTAGATTATTTTTAAAAAGGTCTACACTCTTACTTCTATCATTGTCGGAATTATATTTACAAAACACTGTTGATTCTTTTTGTGTCGCCTCTACGGAGTAGTGGCGACATAAAGGGATCACTTCTCCGTCGTCTGTCTGTTCGTCTGTCCGTCCTTCACAAAAATTGTCCGGACTACTCCTCATAAACTACTGGTGCAATTTCATCCAAACTTTAAAGGAATAATCAGTACCAAGTCTAGTTGTGCATATTGTCAGCATTTTACGGTTCAATGATTTTTTGTCAGAGTTATGGACCTTTAATAATTTTTATTTTTAAAGTTTGTCCGGACTACTTCTCTTATACCACTAATGCAATTTCAATGAAACTTTACAGGATTGATCTGTAGCTCAAGTCCTTGCGCATATTGCACGGGTTTTTCGGTTGAATGATTTTTGGCCGAGTTATGGCCCTTTGATAAATAGAGAATACCATGCTAGTGTCTGATATTATAAAATTTATCAGGCAAGGCTAAGAAAAAAAATGAAGGGCGAGGCTCTGCCGAGCTCTTCATTTTTTTTCGTGCCGAGCCTGATAAATTTTATAATATCAGACACTTGTTTGGTATTCTATTTATCATGTTGTCAATTTCAATTGTTGTTTGATTTTATTTTATTTTAATTGAAGCAAAACCCTATCCAGAACATCTCGTGTTCAGACGGCGCGCAATAATATGTGAAATGTCAAATCAAAAAGAAATAGTCCCGAATGTTTTAGTTAATTGTAAGTGACGCGTTTATATTCAAAATTTCTATTCGATTCAAAGTTTATCAGTTAAATATTTCCAACCCAGTAGCAGGAAAAATATTCCTTTTTTTATTTCATTTCGCAAATTTCGCATATTTTTGATATTTTGGTTTCATGTCGCCATCTTGAATTTACCGAAGTATGGACTACGAACGTTGAACGAGCGTAATCGATAGATGAAAATTGGATAAAATGTCTGGGTTAAATGGATTAATCAATTCACAAAATAAGATTACGTGTTTTTATTCAATATCAAGCGTTTCATGAGACATATCAGTGTTACATTAATGAACAGGATATGAGAAAACACAAGTAAACAAGATTTGAAAATGTCGTTGACAGTGTTGAACAGCTGATTTCACGGAAAATGGAAATTTTAAGTTTGCCAGTTCATCGTCAAGTGTTTATATTTTTAAAGTGAATTTACCGACTTGAATAAACATTCAGGTTGTTGACATGCAATACTGCGCCATAAAATATGGAATTTAAGCTGTTGCTGGATAAAGCAGTCTGCTGTGATGAGTGGGTGGGGTAACTGATTTGGCCAGGATTCATTTGGCCATGTGACTCCGTTGAAACTGCAGAATGAGATATGGAAATGGACTCTAATGACTTATTTGTAACAGTGCCAGTTTGATCTGTAAAAGGCGATGGAGAATCTGACCGTGTAACTGTAGCAGATGGTCCAGTGGATTGATTGCGGACTGATAATTTATTAAAAAGTGTGAAGCAATACAACAAAATAAAAATAAAACAGTAACAATTTGTTTTGTGTTTTTAAAATGTTTTATTTTTATCGTATCAAAATATGTAGTATTTGAAATCCAATGTAAACAGTAGACCGGAAATGACCCGAAAAAAGTAGTTCCGTCAAGGTCAAAATGTGTATTGATGAGGTGTCTGATAAAGCTTGGGGTGACTGATAAAGCTAGGTTTATCAGGCATGCACTTTATCAACAGAAATCAATGTAATGACATGATAAAAAGGTGTTTTTTCTGTGTGTTGCCAGATACACAAAAGATTGTCCGGACTACTCCTCATAAATTACTGGTGCACTTTTATCCAAACTTTACAGGAATGATCAGTACCAAGTCTAGTTGTGCACTGTCCGTCTGTCTGTCTGTCTGTCCGTCTGTTACAAAACTTGTCCCAACATGAAATTGGACATCATGAGGCGACACATGTGATCACTGGTCGCTCTTGTTTAAAAACAATTTCGGCTTATATAAGCACGATAGTGGTTTTTACTATTAAATGTTTCAATTTTGGGTATGATGCATCTTTACTTGATGTAAAGTTTATTATACTGACCGCCGGAATTAACCATATTGGTCATTATATTTGTACGCTCATCAGCAACTTAACTTAATGTCGGTCTATTCCATTTCACCATTGGTTGCAACGACAATTTTTTTCAAAGTATTTTTATTTCTAACAAAACGTCCCTCCCAGTCAACTCCCGAGTTGGATAACTTGACCTTAAACTTTCATGTGCGAAGAGTCTGCCTTGGGTGGTTTGGGGCTATTCTGCATTATAGTTCGCATAAAGGTATGTTTTTAAACAATTCAAAATTGACGTTTATCATAATGTATGCAAGTTTCGAGTTATTTTAAGTGCTTCTTAAGTAAGGTGCAACACATTGATTTTTTAAAGCTAATTTTGATAATTGATAAGATGCTCAAAAGCTAAATTATGTCTTTAAGCACATTATCTTTCTTACTTGTCGTTGCCAAGTTGAGCTGAATTAGCTATATATATGGCTATTATAACGAACTATAATGACAAATGATTAGGATCAATATAACAACTGACCTTATAAAGGACGTTTACTGAAATTCTTGTTGGTCATTTGTGTGTGGCGCTTTTATATGTCGCAACGCCGCTAAATGTCGCAACACCGCTAAATGTCGCACTTGACGCTAAATGTCGCAACTGTAACGTTAACTGTCACACGATTTTGCCTTACCGTTAAATGTCGCAACACTACCGTTGAATGTCGCAAGATGTATATTCATAATTAAATTATGCTTGCTAGTGGTATAATATTACAATAACCATAGAGTAAATTGTTGAATAACTTTAGTAACTTTGGAACCTAAAGGAATGTCCCGAATCTTCTGACTCAAGACAAAATACATATATGCTTTTTAAATGTCCTTTTTGAGTGAAATTAAACAGTAAAAGCGATTGATTAAATTATAGTATGCAAGTACGCTGTTATGTACATAATTATAATGATCATCTGTTAAATATATTGCTTTGCTTACTTGTGCCCATCTACTTGCCCTTCACCGTTGTGGGTTCGAATCTTATAGTCTGCAATACGAATAATATCAAATAAAACATTGTAGAAGAAGGTATTTATACGTTTCATTAAAATCACTTCAAAGGAATGCTCACATAATTATTTACAACAGAACAATAGCAAACTATCCTTGATAGCAGAGAATGTATAACGAGCAGATGGCGTTGCTGTAATCATTGGGCCCTAACTGGTAATAATTGTTACATTTTCAGTACTTGATGTTCTCGTAAATCACATTTATGTAACATGGTAATGGCATACGTTTTGTAAATAAAAATAGTCACATAACAGTATGATCTTACTACATTTTGTTAAAACATAATTATATCAATCTTCAGCAACAGTACAATAAACACAACATTAAACTTGAAAATCAGTAACACCCACCGGCATCACATAAGTCCACCGTTGTGGGTTCGAATCCCGCAAGATACTTAGTAACGTTATTCTTTTATATGTGGAAGCTAGTTTACGGAATGTCGCTGGTTTTATTCAAGTTCCCGTTCGTGCCATAAATTATGTACGGAGAGGCACCTGGGGTATTTCTTCACCAGTAAGACTGAAAAGTCACAATATGTCCCTGACGTAAAATCCGACAAAAATCTATTTTTATCAGACTGCTTATTTTGTATATATTGCGGTGAGTACTAGCTAACGTTCTACAACTTTAATAGCAACTTGATTATTTTATACAAATTTATTTTAGTTTTGTTGTTTTGGAAGCTTGAAGCGTAATAAAACACTGGAACTGGAACCAATCAGTACTGATTGTAAAATTATTTGCTAACGGTAAAAACGACTTGCCACTGACTGCATGGGTTTAAGCCACACGGCCAACAATCTTTAGATTACTAGTCAGGTAATCACTCGGCCATACTGCATCTAACTGATTATTTTTAACAAAAGTCTCATTGATAATCTATTACGCACATTCAATGTGTTGGCTGTTCAAGATAAACAATTGATAATTATAATTTGGTCATCTACGGTACATGTACGCTTGTGAGTGCGTGAGTGTGCGTGTGTGTGTAATTGTGTTGGTTTAATTGCCTTTGTCACAGGCAAAGACATGAGATCAACTCCATTTCCTTTCATTATCACACCGTACAATCAAATGGGCAGACAGCTGTCCCAGCGTCCACAGCTGTACAAGTATATACATGTCGGCGCGGGGAATACAATTGGCGTTTCCGTGATTTTTACCCATGCCGGAAATTTCATCTGGCATGGGGGTGACAGATAAGTCGCGTGCCAAAGAACAA